ATAAACTAAGGGTGAATCCACGTTTTGAACAAGCTTAGGATCAAGCTAGTCAAACTCCGCGTTGGGAAGATTATGACAACTACAATAAGTCCTGCTGGGTTCTGGTCTTCAGTAAAATCCTGTTCCCGTCGCACCACGTGACCGATCAGCACCTTGTTGTACCTGCCCACCCACCCACGGCCACCACCGCCCCGCCACCCACCCACCCACCCATCCATTCACCACCGCCCCGCCCGTGCGTACATGCATGGCGATGCGATAGTGCAATGCATAGCAGGAGTGCACAAGTACAGCAGGGGGCAATAAAGGGTTGGTTGCAAGGGGAGATAGGAACGGGCGAAAGGGCCCTTTAGATGGATGGCCAGCCCAGTGAGAAATTTGATCACGCACTGGGGGAGTGGCAGCTACAGGGAGGGTGGCTAGACAGGAAATGCGACATGCTTACATTGACCGCGGCATGCTACAGCGCCATGCTTAGAGCAGCATGCTTACAGAGAGCGCGGCATGCTACAACACCATGCTTAGAGTAGCATGCTTACAGGGAGCGCGGCATGCTACAGCGCCATGCTTAGAGCAGCATGCTTACAAGGAGAGCGCCATGCTGAAGGTGTGCCAGAGCAGCACGAGCAGCACCACCACCGCCGACCACAGCCACGGCGTGCACCATGGCGACACGCGCAACGCCGATGCTGACCTAGCAACGTTATCTTCTAGGTCCGCTGGCACGATAACATCTTTGCTATTCGCCATAGGCCGACTCGATTCCGTGATCGATTTGACCTGGATGGCATTGCTTATGGCAAGTCACGGCGAGAGCAGCGCTTGGCTCTCATTGGTCGACATGATGGTGAACAGGAACAGCTACGATGGTCAACCCTCAACCCCGCAGTGATGAATTCTCGTGGCAAGGTGGCGTGGAGATTCGATCATAGCTCTCAACGCAAAGAGATGGACGAACGCGACTAAGTGTCGCACACAGGGTCGCCAGATCGCAAAATGCTGCGCTTGGAGCTTTTTTCCAGATAGCGCGTTTTGAGACGTCTCTAAACTAGATTGCTGCGCTTGGAGCTTTCTTTCATAGCGAGTCGACCCGTCCAGCGAGTGACTGCACGCGCTAGTCGCTCAAAATGCGGCGCCACTCTATAGGACGCCGTGACGGAAGCAGGAGAAGCACCGAATACGCCAAAAAAAAAAAACAAATCAGCATTCGGTATCAGTGCGCTTGTGATCGCTTGTGAATCCGGATACTACAAGCGCTTGTGATAACTAGAAACGCCACGCGACTCGTAGATTTTGCGGAAACTAAGATGGTGGGATGAGCATGTGAGCATATGTGTGTGCCCGACATTGCAAGAGCCCCACTTGAACCTATTCTACGACAGTAGTTCAGCTTGCATGGTTTGCCTAGTTGATGCTCGGTTACCACTCGTCTTATTCAACGAAGAAGCACGAAGTTGCAAAAGTACAGCTAGCGGGGTACTACCAACAAATGTCGGTCGAGTACGAACAAAGGAACACGAATGTTTAGGATGACAACAGCTGACTCACAAGGCATCGAATTTGGAGTCGCGTCCCAAATTCATACCGTGCTTGGGCGAAATGAGAACGACGCAGGGCCTGCTTGTTTGGCACTTTACTTCGCGGAACTAATAGGTTTGCGAAGATATTTTTCATATCGCAAAACTCGGGTGGTAACATACAAATGGCAATCGGTGTCAGAATATTATTCTTATGTTCTAGCCTGTAGTCGGGTGCTCTATAGCGAGTACAACCCTTCTAGGGTTTGCTATTTGTATCCCCATTTCTGCTAGTTCATTCCTCTTTCTTCCTTCTAATTTTGTCATGCTATCAGAGCAGGTCGATCCCCTTGGATCGATCCTGTGGGTGGGTTTCCACCTCGCTTCCGCTGCTACCTTTCCTTCCCGCCGTGCGCCCCGAGGCGCGCGGCGGTTTTCCTTCCCGCCGTGCGCCCCGAGGCGCGCGGCAGTTTTCTGCCCGCCGTGCGCCCCGGGGCGCGCGGCGGTTCTTTGCCCGCTGTGCGCCCCGAGGCGCGCGGCGGGCGTCTGCCCTACGTCGCGGCCCCGCCCCGACCGTCGCGGCCCCGCCCTACAGTCGCGGCCCCGCCCTACGTCGCGGCCCCGCCCCGACCGTCACGGCCCCGCCCTACATCGCGGCCCCGCCCGACCGTCGCGGCCCTGCCCTACGTCGCGGCCCCGCCCTGTGTCGCGGCCCCGCCCTACTTCGCGGCCCCGCCCCTCATCGCGGCCCCGCCCCTTTTCGCGGCCCCGCCCTCCAACCAGGCCCGTGGTGGGTCCCTTTCACCACCCCGCCTCCCCCCCCCCCCCCCTCCCCCCCCCCCCTCCCCCTGCCATTTCCCGTCGCCCGTCGCGGCTCCTTCGGGGGCCGCAGCTGTGGGGTGGCGGGTATGGGGGTGGCCGGTCTTCCTTACTCCCTTTGCTCCTCCTCCTCCTTCGTCTCCCACTGCTGCAGCTATCGCTGAGGGGGGTGGATGTGTGGGAGACTGGGTTTAGGGTTTAAGGGGGGTGCGTGGGAGTAGAGCTAGCGGTGTAGCAGTGGGTGTGTATCAGGGGGGTGGGACTGTTTGCGGGAGGTTGAGCGGAGGCTGCCGGCTTGTCGTCCGCAGCACCTGTAGTCCGGGGCGCTGTCGCGGTAGCCCAGTCGTAGCCAGCTGTGCCAGCCGCCCGTGGGTCCGTTGCCCGTCCGCCGCTATTTGAGCCGCGGGGCCTGTTACTCCTGTAGTCCGGGCGCTGTCCGGTAGCCGCTGTGCCAGTCTGCCTCCTGTTGCCCGTGTGTCTGCAGCTTCAGCTGTCGCCTCCTGTCTCCTCTCCCCTCACTCTCCCTCCTCCTCCTCACTTGCCCGTTGTGACTACCACTAGCTTTGCTTATAATTGTGAACTCTAAACTATTTCTTCTTGAACTTGTGCTCAGAATGTGTGGTGACATTGTGATCCACCCTGAGCTTGTTTTGCTTTGCCTGCTCTGCTGATTACACCCCACTTTGGCTATGGGGTGTGTCAGAATATTATTCTTATGTTCTAGCCTGTAGTGGGGTGCTCTATAGCGAGTACAACCCTTCTAGGGTTTGCTATTTGTATCCCCATTTCTGCTAGTTCATTCCTCTTTCTTCCTTCTAATTTTGTCAATCGGCTGTGTATTCTGAAATGGAACGGTTGTGTCGAACTCGAAATTCGAGTACTGGGTTATAATCTGATCTCCGGATGACTCCTTCCAGCTACAGCTATGTCTAGCCACCATAATCTGAGTCGCGACGCATAGTAGGCGTGCATTGCAAGAGCGCTATCTCCCATCGCAAGAGAAGGCGACTCGAATCGCCTCTACGAACCACTACGACTTACGGCGGCGCCATTCCCTTTGCGACTCGTACTATACTCCACGCATCTTGTGCTCTCGTCACTATTTTTTGGTCCGCTCGCTCCGTCGCAACACTTTCGAACTTGCCGCGTCGCGCCATCACGCGCCACGCGCTGCATATCGATGTACCGCGCCGCCGCTGGGACACTTCGAGCCGCGGAAACGATTGTCTAAGAAACCCTAGTTAGAGGTAAGCCTCCCCATCCATTCGCAAGTCAGACCTTCGCTTTCAAATCTTTTGCAAGCCTGAGGCTCACAACTCATGGTCTGGGCGCTTATAGTCTGTCAGAGGGGGTCGATGCGCAACTGCTGGTTACACACGGAGTTGCTTACGGATTCTGCACACTGCCAAGAGACTAGCAGAGCCCCTTGACGCATTCGTTGCCCTTATTAGCATTGCTGATTTCGCCCAGGTTCACGGAGTCACGCTGTCACTCACCCAGGCAATGACCGTCCAAGCACATCAGAAAAATGTGAGACTGTCGAGTATGTTGGGGGTGGGGGGGGAGGGGGTCATTTTCTAGGTTGGAGGCTGATGGTTTTTTAGGGTTTATGAGGTGAATTTCGCTGTTCTGTTTTTTCCGGCAGTTTACCGTCGTGTACGCTCAGGTTATGCCGGCAGATTGTTGTAGGCTCGTCTGGTCGTTAACCACCACCCCGCTGGATCACAGTTTATCTCTGTTTACCTAGTTTTGCTGATGCGCACTGTACACGTGGACAAGAAGAGCATGGATCGATGTGGTGTTTGTGCTCGGGGGCTTTCGAGCGTTTTCATTGGTTGGCTTTTTCAGACAGATATGGCGATCGATCGGGAGTTGTGTGGGTCGTGTTGCCAACCAACACTTCACACGCATATTCTCCTTGGGTAGAAACGGTGGTTGGATTTTGCCACGTCAGCCTTGTTCTGGTAACTGTTATTGTAACAAATTCGCCTTCATGCCGTTTAGGTTGGTATATTGGAACACTTCTTTAATTGCAATGTATCTGTTATGCTTTTCATTTAATGCCTTTGATTATGCTTACATTTCCTTCCTTTCACGGTATCCGTGAACACTGTATGTATCCGTTAAATATATGTATGTAGATATTTTGTGAAATTCTAATATTGTTCGGATTACAATTAACTTCTTTTGTTATGAATGTATCATGTGTTGTTAGTAATATTATGCTGACATTGGAGGAGCTACTTAAGATTCTATGTCTGGCTTAGAGTTAAAGTGTAAAGTTTTGTTGTTTTGTTTTTTACTATATTAATGTTCCTTTCCGCTGTAACGAAGCTACTGATGAATACTATAATTTGAGAGAATAATTCTCTGCCTCAAAGCACCGCATCTCACGGTTCATCATTCTGCCAACAAAACGCGTTTCGGGGCCACGATTATTGGTGCCCCTCGCAAGAATCGCGCTAGAACGTTGTGCACCGTTTTATACCTGTGACTAACTATAATTCCACGTTTTGAACCCCTTTTTATCGCGCTGTCAGAGGTTTCACTATCCAAACTCTGCATTATACGTGCGCGACTCCGTCACTCTTCCATCCACGCTCTACCCATCTCTGAAGTTCCATTCGGAATTCACTTGACATCTAGGCACCTCTGTTCTGAAGCATGAATCTGGCTTCCATTGTAGAGGTAATGCAACAATAGCAACCGCATCGTTGCCTTAGTAGCCGCGTCCCGCGGTGCGTCAAAAATACCCTAGCTCGTAGTGTGGGAAGCAGCGATTTAGCACCAAGCCGCGTTTCTGCGTCGCCGCTGCATGCGACGATAAGGCCAGAAGAACGCCATAAGCGGCTAATTTCTGATTTTCCGGCGAATTGCACTAGAGAAATTCCATAAGCGACCCCGCAAAAGACTGGGACATTGGCGAAAGCGGCTCAGCAGCGACACGGGCCGCAACTCGTTAGGCTGCGACACGCATGGCATAGAGAGGTGGCGTACGGTGAGGTGGTGTCTACATATTTTGAGCGGAGCTTGGCGCAACAAGCGACGCCTGCGTCCGGCGACGACTCGACAAAGTAAGCTCTCTGGCCGCCATTACCTCTCTCTCTTTCACGTTCCTACCCCTCCTCATAAAGCGCACGCCGTGTCAATCCTAGGTTGAATACGCCGGCAAATGCATCAGCAAATCCACGTTAGACATAGCAACGTAGGGAACGAATGTAGGATAGCGACGTAGCATGTATTTCCTTTATCTCTCTCTCTCTCTCTCTCTCTCTCTCTCTCTCTCTCTCTCTCTCTTGCTTCCACGTCTCGGTTCTCTATCTTTGCATCTCTCTCCCCATCTCCCCCCGCATTCTCTCTCTCTTGCTCTGCCGCATTCTCTCTCTCGCGCTCTGCCGCATTCTCTCTCTCGCCCTGCCGCATTCTCTCTCTCGCTCTGCCGCATTCGCTCACTCTCGCTCTTCCGCATTCTCTCTCTCTCTCTCTCTCTCTCTCTCACTCTATCGCATTCTCTCTCTCGCCCTGCCGCATTCTCTCTCTCGCTCTGCCGCATTCGCTCACTCTCGCTCTTCCGCATTCTCTCTCTCTCTCTCGCTCTGCCGCATTCTCTCTCTCGCCCTGCCGCATTCTCTCTCTCGCTCTGACGCATTTGCTCACTCTCGCTCTTCCGCATTCTCTCTCTCTCGCTCTTCCGCATTCTCTCTCTCTCGCTCTGCCGCATTCTCTCTCTCTAGCTGCCGCATTCTCTCTCTCTCGCCCTGCCGCATTCTCTCTCTCACTCTGCCGCATTCGCGCACTCTCGCTCTTCCGCATTCTCTCTCTCTCTCTCTCTCTCTCTCGCTCTGCCGCATTCTCTCTCTCGCTCTGTTGCATTCTCTCTCTCTCTCCTTCTCTCTCTCTCTCTCTCTCTCTCTCTCTCTCTCTCTCTCTCTCTCTCTCTCTCTCTCAAGCAGTCATGTATTGACATGGTTCGCAAGGTACAAGCAAGGAGCTACCACTTGGTCTAAACGTGCAAGCAATCGTGAGTCCAACATAGCGAGACCAGCAAGCTAGGCAAACGAACAACTAGCAAAACACAGAGAACCAGCTCTCCAGATGTTGAAATAGGCCACCACACACTAGGACGAACGAGCCTGCCAGTACCAAGGCCACCAAACCCTGTCCCTACAGTCCTCCTGCTTCTGGACTCCCCCTACTGATCCTGCCTCTCTGTCGACAGTCCCTTTCCCCATACGCAGCTTCCTGCTGTCGTCCGGCTAAACCTCCCCCACTCCCACTCCCTCCCCGCCCACTAAGCCGTTCTGGCAGGGGCTTGACGCTCCTCGTACTCATCCTCTTGCATTTGCCAGAGGTCCCCCAGCCGGGGGGCCCAGGGGTCTGCCGGCTCCTGTGGGAATGCCGCCTCGGCTGCCCTGTTCGACTTAGATAGGAGTGGAGTCGCCTGGCTGCGCTGAAGCATGACCGACCACCGCTGCCTGTAGTGTGCATTAAGGCGGGCGGCAGTGGTGGTGAAGCGCCCCTAGCGGTATTTCTTCCGTGCCGCATAGTTGGCTAGCATACGGAGGAACTGCTGGGTGTCGGCCGCCAGGGCCCCATAGGTCTCAACTGCCAAACCAAAGAAGCCGACGTATCCAGGGCGCCCTACGTAGAGCCGATGTTTTGTCTGCGACCCCTCCTCCGCTGCCCATCCTGGCGGCTTCCGTGCCCTCACATCCCTCCTCTGCAGGACCGGGTCCGTGATTGTCACGTCTGTCGCCCAGATCTCCCTTGATTCCGGGTCCCGAACGGCGAGGTCCGCCCGCTTACTCGCTACAGGGGGAGAGAAGGCAGTCGTCTCGTGGAAGGTCCTATACCCTGCTTCCTGCGCCATGCGGAGGGCTGCAAAAACCAGGGCGTTGTGGGTGCGCACCGCATCCCCGCCGTCGGCACAACGGAGCAGATGGTTCGGCAGGCTCTTGTCAGCAGTAGAGGAGTTGGATCTCCTGCAGAGGCAAACCTCCGCTACCGGTAACTCCATGCCAAGGCGCAGGCCCAGTGCCATGGAGAACTGACCAGGGGAGATTGAGAGGTCAGCCCTCGTTGGCACTGCATGGAGCCAGTCACCTGCTCCCACTCCTTTCAAGCTAATTAGCCGAATTGCATGGCCCCTGTCCACCCCCGGCCTATCTGTGACCGTATCTGCGAGCAGCTCTTCCGCCCGCGTGTGGTTAATGGCCTTAGACAGGCCCAGCTGTAGGTTGCCCATGCCTTTCGGGTTCTCCCTATAGCTGCGGAGGACTGCTGCAGCCTGCGCTGGGAGCCTGGCCTCAAGCGGTGCCAGCGGGTTGGCCCGGGGGGGCGGTGGGGCCCATGTCGGGGAGAGGAGATTCCCGGCCTTGTGAAGAAGGTAATCTGGCGGCAGGTTCAGCTGCTGCAGGAGAAGGTGCGCCGCTGCAGTTGAGGCTAGGTACGCTGCTGGGGCTTCGGAGATGGGGTCAATGATTCCCAAACCTCCTAGCCGCACCGGCAGCGTGGCCTGGCGCCACAACAGACTCTGCTCTAGCTCACTTGGCGGGATCCGAAGCTTTGACGCCGCGAGCCCGGCTCCTACCAGTGCCTCGCTCCACTCCCGCCACTCCGTACGGGCCAGTGCATCCGCTGGTGTTGTGTGTAAGAGGTACGAGATGCGGCGGGAGATGCTCCGAGATAGCATGAGTAAGGCGTGCTGCGGGTTGAGTTGGGCGACGAGATGTAGCGGCGCCGCCACCTCCGCTAGCGTCCTGCGGACCTGGTCGGTGCAGAAGGCGTCGCCGCCAACCGGGCTGCCCAACACCTTCAAGCCGCCTGGGTGGACAAGAAGACCGTGTGGCAGACCATCCCTCCTTCCTCCCACAAAGCCCACCACGCCGCGGACTTGGTAAGGTACCCTGCCATCTCTCTCTCTCTCTCTCTCTCTCTCTCTCTCTCTCTCTCTCTCTCTCTCTCTCTCTCTCTCTCTCTCTCTCTCTCTCTCCCTGCCACTCTCACGCTACCTCTCTCTGCCACTCTCGCATCCCAGCTCATTGCCGCTCTAGCTATCTGGCGGCCCCACTTGCTCTATCACACCCTTTTCCCTCATCTCCCTGGCCAGTACACCGTAGGAGAGGGCTGCCTATTGGAGCAGCGATGACACACCGAACACTCCTCGTGGAGCAAAGAGTTGTTCTTTTCCCTGTGTCATTCGTCAAGGTATCTCAAAACAACAACCCCCCCCCCCCCCACCTCTCCTAATTTCGTATCTTGGCCCATGCACACCCTCTCTGTCCCATTCACTCCCACTCTGCCCATCTCACTCCCTCTCTGCCCCATTCACTCCCTCTCTGCCCCATTCACTCCTTTGCTGCCCCATTCACTTCCTCTCTGCCCCATTCACTTCCTCTCTGCCCCATTCACTCCCTCGTTGCCCCATTCACTCCCTCTCTACCTCAGTCAGTCCCTCTCTGCCCCATTCACTTCCTCTCTGCCCCATTCACTTCCTCTCTGCCCCATTCACTTCCTCTCTGCCCCATTCACTTCCTCTCTGCCCCATTCACTCCCTCTCTGCCCCATTCACTCACGCTTTTCCCCATTCACTCCCTCTCTGCCCCATTCATTCAGATGAGCTACCGCTGCCCTGCATGCAAGGTCAACACCTTCTTGACCCAACAGGGCATGGAGAGTCACATGCGTAGCTCAAGCTGCCCTGCAAAGCGCGCAATGATACCTACGCCGTACTTCGCAAGTAACCTTGGGTTGCATAAACGCCCTCGCATACCCACCGTAGCACCCATTCCTATTCCCACTGCAGTTGCTTTGACTTCAGCCGTGCCCATAACAACCCCTCTTCACGAACATCTACATGCTTTTCCAGTGCCATGTACCAGGGCTGATTTTGTGACAGGGGTGCATTTGGATGATAGTGCTTCTAGCAACGTCAGTTCTAGTGATTTTGAGAATGCAAGTTTACCATGTGATGCAGATGATTATATCTTGCGGGACGACATTCAGGAGGGAAGTGATGGGAACGTGTTGCCTGATAACGTAGGAGCTGCAACGTCGCCCGAAACACCCTTCAACGGCAGGGATGCATTCGCGCATTGGTTGCTAGCCAACAATATCTCCCAAAAGGCAATCAAAGCCTTGTTTGACATTCTCTTCCACCATGCATTTGAGCTCTCTCAGCTGACAGGATGGAAGTCTGCGCGCGATGTCCAGCAGTACGTCGAATCACGGGCCTCGGATAAGCATCGCGGGTGGAGACGCAAAACCGTTCGAGCGGGGAACAAGGCGTGGCTTGAATATTGGTACTGCGATGGACTGGTCGCTCTTCAGGATCTACTTAAGGACCCCAAGCTCGCTCCAATGATGAGCATGGAGGCTCACGCCGTTAAAGATGGCACCATGCAAGTTTACTCAACACCCGAAACCGCGCTATGGTGGGAGGAGCTTCAAAAGAATATTCGTGAAGTCAACCCGGAAGGTGTTGTCGCTGCTCTCATTCTTGCAAGTGATGAGACCCATATGGATCAGCGTGGGAAGGCTAAAGGGCATCCCGTGTATTTGACACTAGGAAATATTGACAAGGACGATAGGTGGAAGCCCTATGGGCACGTCTTGCTTGCCTTGCTCCCGGAGTATCCCGAAGAGTATGATTCCCTAGATTGGACGCTGATCTTCCATTATATCATGAACGAGGTGCTAGCGGGGTTGAAGCGTGCTTCTCATACAGGTATAGATATGGTCGACTCGGCGGGGAAAACAATCAACGTGTGGCCATCCATGTATGCACATGTCACGGATTACCCGGAATCGTGCAAGGTAACGTGCACAAAGTCGGGCTCGACGAACTTTCCTTGCTCACTATGCAAGGTTAATAAGGACAAGCTTGCGTTGTTCACCGACCGCATTCAAGCGCGGACGCCATTGGAGCAACGCGCCATTGTCCTCTCGGTGCGGACAAAGACGATCCAACCTGATGGCGATGACGCCATTTTGACTCACCCGGTCCACGTATGTTTCAAACTCCCCTTCCATTTTGAATTATGTTATAACCCTCCTCTAACTATCGTATGCGATATACGTGCAGAGTTACCTTTGGGGATGGCGGTGGGAAGCGGAGAGCTTGCTCAACCCGTATCTTGCGGTGCTTCCTGATATCATGCATCAAGCCAAACTAGGCCTTTTTGAGCACATTGTGGATAGCATTTGAGCGCAAATTAGGGAAAACTATCCCAAGAAGATGAAGTTGCTAGATCAACATCTAAAACAACTTAAAAAGTCCACACGTGGTGGATGCATGAGGCTGCCATCGGGTGAATACTTCGCCAAAGGTGCCAATTGTGAAACAAGTGAACAGGAATGGAATGACTAAGGAAAGATTGGGTACAAATACAACCCTAGAAACCCTGTACCCCATATGTGCTACCCCACTATAGCCTACAGCAACTATGTCATATAAATCTGACACACCCCCATAGGCAAAGTGGGGGAGAACAAGGGGTCACAAGACCAGTCAAGTAAAGCAAAGCAGAGCAAGCTCAGGGTGGATCACAACGTCACCACACAGTCTGAGCACAAGAGCAGGGCCAGTGGCCAGTTCACATGCAGGAGTACAGACATATATATATAAAACTAGACAAGCAAGAGCAGGTATATATATGTCACAGTACAATTAAAGTCAAGAGGAGAGCAAGTGAGGCAAGACAGGCACAAGACCCAGCTGGGTGCAGAGGCGCTGATGGTCACAAGGCGCGAGTGCCTTGGTGAACACATCAGCAGTGTTGGCCTCAGAGGCCATGTACGCAAGCTGCAACTGTCCACGCTGCTGCAGCTCACGAGCAAGGAAGTAGCAAAGAGCAATGTGCTTCGTTCTGTGCTCCAGACGCTGCTCTCGACACAAGGCCAGCATGGCCTTGTTGTCTACGTACAGCACTGGAGGAGAACGAGGCGGCTCTCCAAGGTCAATCA